AGCAAATAATACAAATATAAACTACTATATATTTATGTAGTAACATCTTTCAGATAGAATACCATTTTGTAATATAGCTAAAGGTTAGCTGTAGAAGCAGGAGAAAGCCAGTGCTTAGCAGAGACGGTAATTTAAATCAAAATACAGTGATCAAATGTGCCCTTGTTTGTGTCCACATTAACAGAAGCAGAGAATGATAAAGTCACGGTGTTTACAGCCGTGACTCTGCTGGTTAATTAATATTAAACATATTTGTGATTTAACACTCCCTCCTGCCTGATTGAACATCCCTAATGGAAAATAAACTCCAGTCCTATAACTCAGTTGTTATCACTGCAGTTCATTTTAAGCATCATCTCATTTGATTTCCTCCTGTCTTGGGAGTGCCCGCATGGAAAGACTCTAATTATAAAAGCTCTGCCGGGGCTTTCACAGATCACTGGCTTATTCTCTGAGAAACACCGGCCGCACCACTCTCCGGCCAACATGCAATTATAGGAAACTTCCACTTCTTATCATCTGCTCTGGAGGTTATTGACTGAAGTCCCACACACCTGTCATCATCTGTGAGCAGACAGGCTGAAGCAGCTGAGCGCTCCACAACAACACACGCCGATTTCTCAGCTTTGAATAAGATTAAAACAGAAAGAAAGGTTAAATACGTATCTCGACCAGTGTTTTTCAACCTTGGGGTCACGATCCCAAGTGGGGTCACCTGGGATTAAAGTAGGGTTGCCTGAAATGTCTAAGTAATTGGAAACTTAAACTACTAGTCTTTCACTTTCATGAATATAAATTTAGTTATAATAAATATATAACTGTATATATATATATTTATATATAATGCTCCATTTCTCTTTCCTCCTTAACTTATCCAACGGAGAACACAGATATCTGACATCTTTTCACATTTCACTTTGCAAATCATCAAACGTAGCCTCGCTGCTACCATGAGTCGCATCCAAATCAAAAGAGAACTTTGACAGCCCAGTGTAAAATGCTGCGGGGCTAGAGAAGCAAGGACTAGCACTGATCTGCCACTGCTGTGTTTTCCTCTGTTAGACTGTAGAGAGAAGCTATTTTAACACAAAGGTTTCATGTGGAGACTGTTCACCCGACTGACTCTGCAGGGACACAAACACGCCACAGATCCACCGCATGAGTCGGAGAATAAATAAATAAGACATAATAATATATCTGCTATTTTTAATGGAATTTAATGGAATTTAATGGAATACACACTTATTTTGTGTTCTGCAGCCAAAGTGATCAAACCCAAAAGATGTGAAGGATCTTGGGAGTAATCGCAGAGAGATACGTACAGTATGTGAGGTCCGAGTTACGTCGTACCTTAAGAATGGAACACTAGTGTAAGTTGACGACCCCCTGTATTAACTTTGACAGCCTCACTAAAAATGTACTTTTCTGACAAAAAAAAAAGTTACCAGCCCTCCCATGAACTCAATGACAAGTGACAAGTGAGTTTGTTATCGGAAAAAAACAAACAACTTTGCCCTTAAGCTGAATCTACAGCAGCAAAATGATTAACTTGTAATAAGAATTTGTCCATATGGACTGCAGATGATCCCTCAGGGTGTGGATCAGGGTGTGATGGGGGGTGGGGGGGGAGTACAGTGTCGGAGGTGTGCAGCGTGGCAGCTGTGATACAGTGCAGATGTGTGGGAAGACACAGACAGGCAGCTGCCCCTGCCAGCAGTTGAAAGGCCAGCGCTTCCTCAGAAGTCAGGCCAGCCTTTGAAGTGGAAGAGCACAGATACCAGAGTGGCCGTGCAGCACTGGTAAAGCAGTTCTTAACCTCACTGTCCTCGGCCGCTCCAGAGCCTCGGAGGACAGATTAGACTCTCCGCGGGCTTAATCAACTTCAAAAAAATGACAAGGAGAGACGCATGAGCCCAAAGTTCCTTATTTTATGGTTAAATTTGCAAAGTTAAAGAGAATGATCCAGTTTAATGAACAAGAAGAAATAAACAAACGTATGTTGGTGTGGTCAGACTCGCTTGTTTGGATTAAACCTCAGGGGAGTTTCACTTCATGCAACATTGAGTTTATTTTCGTACTGTGGACCATTCTTCCCACTGGTACTGAGTCTGTTTTCTTTTCCACAAAGTAAGTGAAATAACATCTAAAGGGGGAAGAAATATGAGCAGTCGTATCACTGGAAAGACTTTAAACAATCCTGCAGCCTTTAGTGTTGTGTGGGAGAAAATGAAATTCAGCAGCAGGGGTAATGGCCAAAATGCCTTCTGTCATCTTTAAAAGGCTCCTATATTTGCTATATATGTGTGTATATATTTACCCTGTGAAATTCTAATGCGATTGTCTTTGTGCCACTGTGAGTCATCACACACAGCTGGTACAAGTGTGAGCCGTGTTCTTTAAAGCGCACAGGTGGGTGGTTTCGGAATCATATTTGGGCGGAAAAAAATAATTAGTCCACAGGGATTTGTACTTTTTGGTTTTTCTCACAGTGGATCTCACGTGTTTTCTTGTTTTCTTTCCCCCTTATAGTGATTTTTTTTAACTTTTCAGTAAATTAATACATTTCCTTTGCCCTGCTTTTACAGTGGTGTTTGTTGAAATGCATAAATCTAACCATAAATTTACTTCATAATAGTCCTGATTGTGTGCCTGCAAGACATGACTGTGGGCCAGCATTAATACAGTCAAGGTCCTGGGATCTAGAACATAAGAAAATCAGGATTCATTAAGGAAAAGGTCTGGACCTGTGCCTACTAGCCCTTGTTGTCACTGTCTACTGTGGTACTGGAATAATTCTGGGTATATTTGTATTTTTGCGAATGCTATTTCAGCAGCAGCTCCTCTGATACAGTGACAGTGTACAGGATGTTTACTAGTACAGGGTTAGCTGACATGAGGGTGAAGAAGCAGGAGCAGAAAATAACAACTTAAACATGTTTCTGCATAAAAAAGTCACTGCTGCCAGTAAAGGATGTTTATTTCAACAAAGTCACCGACGTGTCATTCAGACACAGAGGCAAAACAATGGATGATACACCGACAAATATAAACACCATGACTGGTTTGTCACAGTAGCACCTGCCGAGTGTGCATTTCCCTGTAGTTTGCAGAAAAATAAGTAAAAAATTCAAGCCGCTGTCACCGTCTTTAGTGTTATATTTGTTCAAGACTCATTAAGTTTCCACAACAGGCAGAAACAGAAACACTTCATTCTCAGACATTTTCACACAGTCACTAGAAATAGAAATGTTTGTGTAAATAATGGTAACATCGCGTCACTCACTTCAGACTGTTAGAAATGTAACCAAAAATATTAAGTACCTAAATTTACCTTTTAATCTCTTTATAAACTGCCCCTAAAATCTAAACACACTGATATGACAGCATCGCATGTTGGAAGAAATGTAAACGTTCATTTTCAATGCGAGGACTTTAAGGTTGAACAAAAAAAATGAACAAAATGTAATTATGCAAACATTGGAAAGTGTCATTTTTAAAAATGATAAGATAACATCCAATCAGAAGAACAAAGAACAGACTGGTTCACAAAAAGCTAAAAAGAGGTGTGTGTGTAAGGGAACAGCACAGAGAGTGACAGGTATTTCTACAGACAGGGAGGGAGGAGTTAACAAGACACAGGTGGAGGAGATTAGCTAATCACTGTGGAGGGAGACACAAGAGGGGGGGT